TTGTAAGGTTCTTTGCAGCCGTCTCTCAGCCCGCTCATTTAGTAGTTAGCTCTTCACTGTTAATATATGTCCCATTTGTCTCTCTCATAGAGTTTCTTAGTTCATGTGTCCAAGCTTACAACCCGTTTCTCCTCTCTCTCTTCCCTTTTCTTGCCCACCTCAGCATTTAGTCAGCTTACAACATGTTATTATACTTGCTCTTACGGAGCCTTAACATGTGGCGCTGACCACGGCGCGATGGCGTATGGGAGCAAGCGTCAAGATTTGGTGGGCCCCACTGTAAAGCTACCGTCAGAACAATTTGCTTGCACTACTTTGTGCTCGGGTGAGAAATGATGGTGTGTTTGATTAGTGGAGTCATCACATGCTTCATGAGATAATGCATCATGAGTTTATTGCATGAATTTTGGTGGAATCAACTCATTCCTTATGCTTATACTAATTATTAGCTTGTGAGAAATGAGGTGGTGATAGATCAATTCATTTTATTTCACAAACCAAATAAAAAAATGAGAAGTGATAAGAAGATGGATCAGCTCGTTCCTTGAATCAAGCGCACCCAATGTGTCATTGCGTCGCCCACGATCACCACAGCTCGACCCCCAGATTTGAACCCTTGCTCGTTGAGGGAAAGAAAAATATGAAACTTTGCATGCGTGTACAGAGATCGTTTTGGATTTTCCTTGGCTGTGACCTGTTGGCGAAGGCACACGCAAAAACGTAGAACTTACCCTGCATTTGTGTGAGTGGTAAAAGGGCTCCTCCTTGTCCTTGATCGGTTCGATCAAGCGGCCACTTCCTTTCCGAAAGGCACCAATCTCCTGCGTCGTCTCGGCACGTCCCAGGGCCGCTGCGCATTTTCTCCTGCTTGTATCCTAAACAGGCGTGAAGTGTCTCCGCATTTGCGGTAAAAATGCCAAGGAAACAGTGTATAAATATGGTACCCGTCCATTCAAGTTAAGCTACGCTCCTGGCATAGAGAAGTATGTAGCTCACTCAACTGCTCAAGTTGGTCTGGTGTCGTGAGCTTGTGCGCGTCGTTAGTTGCCTAGTTCGTGGACGATGGAGCGAGCTGGAGCTCAGGGGTCGTCGGGCCGCATGGGAGAGGGAGACGAATCTGCGACGTCCACGAGGCAGAGGTCGCCGAGCAATCCGCTGCCGAAACGCGGAGGAATTATCAAGGGGATCTGCTTGAAACTCTGCTGCTGCTTCTGCTGTGCTTCTGCATAACCTGACAATAAATTCCATCCGCTGCATGCATTTGCAGCATCTTGCCTGAAGATTAATTAGTAGCCCATGGAGTACGTAACTATTTGCGTTGTACTGTGTCTGTTCGTCTTCTCTTGGTATAAACGTGTTTGTCCATTTAACTAATATATGCCCGCGGAAAGCTAAGTCTAGCTAGTGTAATTTAGGATGGATCATCGTCGGGCACTTCAAGACTGTGTGTAAAAGCTTTGGATGTATTATGCATTGGTGATAGTATATCAGTCCATATCGTTCGATGATTAAAAAAGAAATGTTCACACACTATGTCCGTGCCTGCCTTCCTCGGAAATGTGCTAAACTGCTAAACGAGTAACAACTTGCCCTTAGCGTATGCTTTATTTTCGAGACGGTCAGTGTGGCATGTACGGGCCCAGCAAATGAAAGATAATTCTTTTGACCTCCCTCAACTAATGGTCTATTTAGTAGAGCTTTAACTCAGCTAACACACCTTCAACTATGATATCTTTAATGAAACAGTTTTTTTCTGGCTATAGCTTCACTAGTTTGAAAAATCTTCAGTAAAACAACTTCTTTTGGTGGTTGAAAAGGGTAAAATGTCTATAATATCGTTCTTTTTTCTTTTCTTCCTCTTCTCTCTCCACCTTATTTGCTCTCCCATGCCTCCTCTTCCCCAACCTCCTCTATGCCTCCACCACAAATGCTCTAGGTGCTTGACCAGCGCGCAGTCGCTCCTTCGTCTACAGCCACGACAAGTAAGAATAAGGTGAGGGGCATCCATGACAATCCGATGCACACCTCGCCATATCATTCTGGATATTTAAACAATCACAGATCAAGACCATTTTTGGTGGAAGTTGGTTTTTTTTAGCTCAATCGGTCGCCCACCCCATGTGAGAGCGTGATTTTCGTGACTTCACTAGTGGAGCCGGGCGGAGCAGGACCCGTTTGGCTGGCAAGATGGTGAAGCAGCTCCGGGAGCGGATGGTGAAACTGCACCAGACGGTCCCTAATTCATATTCCCCTCTCCACTTATAAACTTGACGTGGGTCATCACTCAACTTTTAAAATTGTTTGTTTTTACACCTTGAGCGGTTTAGATGATTGTTTTACTGTTTTAACCTACGTAGCACCACGTCAGCCATCTTACATAGTACTACATCAGCCACTGTGGGTAAGACCTGCAGTGTACAATTCTTGTACTCCTGGTGTTGCACTCCCACTGTTAAGTTGTTGCAGGCAAGATGCACGCCCCGGTCTACAGATACTTCTATGCTCCCGAGCCCTCTTCCTAGTGGTAATGAAGTGGTGTTGGCATGCCATATAGCTTGTTTAGCCCTCTTCCGAGTGGTAATAAGTGGTGTTGGCATGCCATAGAGCCTGTTTAGCTACACGGAGTAAGCATTCTACGACTTGGCTGGGACAGGCACCTACGTGTACCTGGGACCTCCTAAATGCCGAGTGTAAACACACTGATGTCTAGTTAATAAAGCTCTCTCTCTTTACTCGTAAAAAAAGCTCTGGTGTTGGCACGAACCATAAGATGTACTGTGAAAACTTTTGCGCAATGCAAGTTTCTTAAGTAAGAACTCGTGTGAGCTATTTTATCTACATATGTGCTATTTTGATCCTGTATATGATTCTGCGCGGGTTGATGGATAGCACGGCGGACGGTGTGATTTTGGTGATGTCCGGATTAATTATGTTAAATCGAGTATGATCAATATATTACATCTTCATTTAGTATAGTTAATTGGAGGGCCCGTCACACAGAGTCTGTTTTCTTCGTGTACTGAAAAGTTTCTTGACATACCATACGCAAAAAACTCTTGAGTCATCCAATTTCGTTAACCTAGGTTAAGACATCTGCTTGGCTATGCAACTGGCTGGCAGTGGCAGGCAGCAACCACAAATAGACGACGGCATCAATTTTTATTTCCGGTTTCTAAAGATGTGCATGCAGCCCGTGGACCAAAGGCCCGGCCCAAAGCACGGTTATTGGGCCCAACCCGAGCACAGCACGGCCCGAACCCTAACCAGGCCCGTGCAGCGCCCGAAGCCCGTGAGGCCGGGCTTGGGCTGAGGCTCGCCGGCCGGGCGGCACGCAGACCTGCCCGTTTACAACGGCCGGGCCCGGTGGAGGCCCGCTTTTTGAATTTATTGAGTCGGTACTATTTTCCTTTCTAGGGTTTTATCTCACGAGGTGTGAGTTTTACCTAGAATGGTTTTTAATGAGGCGGATTGCATAAAAAGCTCAAATCTTTTGTCATCCGTGTTTCGTGATTGTTAAATATGAATATGTGATCCTGTGATTGTGCTGTTAAATATGGTGTTTATAATAGCGGCTGTGGTGGCCCGATGGACCAGTGGCCGCGGGCTCAACGGGCTGGCACGGCCCGATATTCGGCCCACGGACCGTGCCTGGGCCGTCCGACAGGCACGGCCCGGTGGCCCAGCGGGCCAAAAGGGCCCGAGCCCGATCGGGCCGTGCCTGGCCCGGGCTCGGGCTGTGCCATGCCGTGCCGGCCCGTTGCTCATCTTTACCGGTTTCCCATTCTCTTTCGGCATGATTCGATTGATGTGTTACAGATGGAATCATGCATGGAACCGTGTTGTTTCTTGCCCATGGTTTTCCGGATTCTGATAGTACGATGAACAAGCTCGGATACACTGTGTAAATGATGCGCCGGCGGCGTTAATTGTTTGGCGGCTGTGTGGGGTCGCGTGGCCCGTGACTCCAGCCGTTATACGTCATATATAGAATAATAAAGTTACCAGCCGTAAACTACGACCGATATTATATTAATATATTTATATATATATATATATATATATATATATATGTATGTATGTATGTATGTATATGTACACAGTTTTAATTTTTGCGACGAAGAAGAGAAAGTAGAGAGCACCGTCGCGTCGATCGTCGATTACAATTGACAAAAAAATGCACACGGCTCGCCAACTTTTTGTTGTTGTTCACATGTATTTGCAGGGTTTTGCTAGCTGTTGCCGCCGTTCATATGCGGCGACAAGACGCCCCCAGCAATTGATGGGAAATAAAGTACTACAGTATACATGTTACTGGTGAAAAAGGTTCCCCGCGATCCATTACTTCGTTCCTACTAGCTCAGTGGAATCGTTTGCCTCCTCATTGCTACACGTTTTCCGTGCACAACCTGGGTGTTTATATATGTGCGTCGTGCATGCACGCAAGCCGAGCAAGCGTAGGGAGTAAGCAAGCAACTCAAGTGGGTGTGAAGCGAGTAGCTGCATGTTGCTGCTTGCGAGTTGCGACACCCTGGTAGTACTAGAAAACACAAATGCAACATTCTGGTATTCTACTAGCTAGTACTACTGTACTAGTAGAGTAGCACTCTAAGTCGGCGACGAGCCGACGACGTGCGACTTGGACGCGCGACGGCGGTGGCAGCAGCAGCAGCTCAGCAGCGACGACGACACCGCCGCGTGGGAGACGAGACGATGCGGCACAGGCAGAGGCAGAGGCAGCGGCAGGGCGCCCCGGCGCCCAAACGCGGCGGAGTTAAGAAGAGCATCTTCAGATTCCTCTTCTCCTGCTTTTGATATACTATTTTGCATGAGATTTCTTGGGATCCACTGCATTTTACGTACTATAGTCTCTATAGCTAGCGCGTCCTTGCATCTTGTCGTGTGTCGTATGTATGAGTACGTGCGTCTGTTATATATGTGGTGGTTGTGCATTAACATATGTGTGTTGAAAGCCAAGTCCTCTATATATGTGTGTATACTAGCTAGGTGTTTCGATCTGCACTAATAATATATGTGTGTATACTAGCTAGATGTTTCGATCTGTGCATTAACGACTGTTGCAATTTAACGTTGTGTAAGGAATTTACTTGCTTCCTTCTACCTTGACCTCTTCCATATAAACTAGCCTTTCATTTTTTTTAGGCCAACGCTGGGGGCTTGAACGACCCCCACCTGAAATATATTAAGCCACAGATGCCGGCAAATGCCGGTGGGTGGCGGGGCTCATGGCCCAAACAGGATTCCCAGAATTACAAACGGGGGAGATAGGATTAAATAGGCAAATGATTACACCAAAATGAAGAAAGACGAGCATCATTTTTGGGGAGGCGACATCTCCATTGCCGTGCTGATTCACGGCAAGCAGCAGTCAGACGCGAATGGCTTGGGGGAATGTCCCTGAATACCACATCATGCCTGTGCTTCCAAAGTTCCCAGCACAAGAGGAGAAGTAGCGATGAAAGAGCCATTCTTGGCATAGCCACTGGTGCAGTTGATTCCCATAGGCATCGAACTTCAGCTATGTTCTCTGCTTGCCATCCAATCTGTCTCCAGAAGACCTGGGCAAAGGAGCATCCTGAGATTAGGTGGTCTGCTGTTTCAGATCCTTGGCCACAGATAGCACATATGTCCTCCTCAAGCACCCTCTTGTTCAGCAGGTTGCTCTTACAGTTGATCCTGTTCTTCGTCAGTAGCCAGCCAAAGAATTTCACCCGGGGGGTGGCTATGTTCTTCCAGATGAACTGATAAGCAGGACAGGTGCTGCCGCTTCTCATGGAGGCTTTGTAGATCATGCCTGACAATAGGCGATGATTGTCTCCAGCGAAGAAACATGACCTCTGATCACTTGTGTCGCTGAGAGAGATGTCTCGTATCACTGTTTCCAATTGCTGCAGTTCCTCTGTTGCTTGTCTACTCAGTCGTTGCTGAAAATGGGAATGTATTGGAACTGAAAGAGTTTCCCGGACTGACGCCCCTTGCGTTGTGCAGTGGCTGTGTAATGCTGGGAACCGCTCAGCGAGCGTGCAATCCCCTATCCAGACATCATCCCAGAAAGCTGTATTACGCCCATCTCCCACATCAACCCTGGTGATCTTGCGATAGGCTGGCAATAGTTCTCGGAGGCCATCCCAGTGGGTGCCGACCAAACTTCCCTGGAGACTGTCCAATCTTGTCTGCGACTTAGCCCATATCGCCCAAGCTGATCCCTCGGAGTGATGAAGCCGCTGTATCAGTTTGAGCAGCAGGCACGCGTTTTGTGTATCCAGTCTCTTGATCCCTAATCCACCATCTTCCTTGGGTTGACATACTTTCTCCCACGCAACAAGACACTGCGCCCCATTGACCTTGTCTGTTGCTGTCCACAGGAAGGCTCGTCTTCTTGCATCCAGTGCTTCTCTAATGCCAGGTGGTAACATAAGGGCTCCCATGGCATACGTGGGCAGTCCATCAAGCACTGAGTTTATCAGCACCACCCGGCCAGCAGTGCTTAGCAGGGTTGCCTTCCATCCTGCTAGATATCGGTCTGCTTTGGCGATCAGAGGAGCAAAGGCAGAGAGTCGTAGCTTGACATTGGACAGTGGTAGACCAAGATAGACTTGAGGAACAGTCCCCTCCCGGCATTGTAGGATCTGCATCATAGCCAGGAAGGCCTCTCGCTGTATGTGCATGGGAGTGACAGTGCTCTTACCAAAGTTGATGGTTAAGCCTGTCGCTGCCGAGAACAGGTCCAGTGTGTGCTTCAGCCGGGCTGCATCTCCAGGGTCACCTCGTATCAGGATGATCGTGTCGTCTGCATATTGCAATATTGGACAGGAGCCTTCCATTAGCGGGTGCCTGATATTGTCATCTGCTTTGATCAGTCTTTGAAGAACATCAGCCACGAGCAGGAACAAGTAAGGAGATAGTGCGTCTCCCTGGCGAAGTCCTCGGCGGCAACGTATCCATGGGCCGAGGATCCCATTGACCATGACCGCCGAGCGCGAGCTTGCCAGCAGCTGCTGCATCCAGCTACGCCACAGCCTGGGGAAGCCACGGGCCTGGAGGACTGCGTCTAGACTCTCCCAATTGACAGAGTCAAACGCTTTTGCAAAGTCCAGCTTGATGACGACTGTGGGGGCCTTCCTCTTGTAGCAGCATTGAACCAGCTCCGTTGCAAATACAAAGTTCTCGGAGATGAATCTTCCTTTGATGAACCCTGTCTGGTCGATGTCAATTAGCTTGGGCACCTGCTGCTGCAACCGGTTAGTGACACTGGACGGAATGCACTTGGGGAGAGCGCCGTCATTGACTTGGGTATGAGGACGATGACGGCGCGGTTGATGCTTTCCAACTCCACTCTCTCAGACTGGAAGGCTTGGAGGAACTCCATCACGGCGCCCTTGGTGGTGTCCCAAAGTCGCTGCATAGAAGCTCGGACCAAGACCATCCGGTCCTGGCGCGCTGGCCGCGTTCATGCTGCGAGTTGTCACCACCGATTCAATGAGTCGGTAACACAAGTACATGCTACTTTGCTTCTCCGGATCAATCTTTCATTTTTGACTGAAGAGTTGTCACCCCCGATTCACGATCAAATTCATTTGGCAGACACCGCTACCATGCGTCTCTTCTTCATAAATGAGCTTCTATTTTTTTTTGTACAAATTTGTTTCTGAAGCACACGTGCACTGCTTCATTTTGATTTCGAAAGCAGAGACCTGAGAGTGCAGCCGTCAACCGGCCGGTCGTCTGTCGCAAAAGAAAGAACTTACAGGCATGTTGGTACCTCTATCTCCTCTTAACGAAAAACATGCCTCATGGCACGGTCGTGAAAATACAGGCATGTTTGGTACTGCCATGCTTCACCAATTTCAATTTTGCACTTAAATCTACAAGCTAAGCAAAGTAGCTCCCTAACAAGGAAAATCGAATCTGAGGGTTGGCTCCATATTTTTTATAGAGCTCTCCTCAAGTGGTGTTTCTAAAACTCGAGCTTCAAACCTCCAAGTGGAGTTTGGGGATATTCACTAGCACAGAAAGGACAATAACTGTCACTTCCAAAAGCCTATCACTACAAGATTATGGAACCGATAGTGCTTAATCGGTAGTGATGACGAGGGGCTACCACGGCCTCCTATCCATCGTCGCCACCCCTTTGCGATCACTGTGTGGTCCCCATCATCCTTCCTATGAGGCAGCCTCGCCAGCGATAAGGAGGAGCGGGGGCCTCCGTTGTTCAAGTCTAATAGTTTTTAGGGTTTTAGATTAGATTGAATAAAACCTGTTGTTAGGCTGTTGGTTGATTGTGTTTGTTGATTGCTTGTCGAATCTTATTTATCATAGAGAGCTCTAGTGCGGGTGCCGCGCTCTAGGCATCCAACCCGGTGGTCTTTCATGTTGCTTCTATTTTTGTAGGATCGATGCGATTGGGGGGTAATCAAGTTGCTCGTTTGCATCTACTTGTGTTACCGACTCACTGGATTCCAATCTTGCAACTCCAGATCCATCAGTACAGATTAATTGGCCCTTGATCATCTTTGACGATGAGATGGTTGATGTTCTTTCACCGTGTCAGATGCATCCTGAGAAGTTCCAGTGGTGTTGGATCATGCGGCGTTTCCAAGTTAGGTTCCTGACGTTAAGGATGGTTGGAGGGTTATGCTCCTTTGGCTATTGTCAGCGTTCTTGAGTTCCAGCGGGTTGGATTAGATAGTCATCAACATGGTTTAGAGGTGAAGAGTATTATTAGGAGGCTCTGGATATACTCTGCTAGTCTGTTTTTTTGGGCCTCCAGAGGCTTACATGTAAACAAGGATGTAACTGTGCTACCTTATATTAATAAAATCTCTTCCCTTGGCATAAAAAACTATACCAAAACTGTTTCTATGGGCGCAACTATTATAATATAATAATAAATGGAAAAACCATCTGTGAATATGTACATGTAATAATTTGTAAATGATAGCATCGGATGTGTTTTAATTCTATCATCTAAAAATAAAAAGATATTTGAACAGTGTTGTTATAAAACATACTTTCTCTAATAATCATGATCTTATCATGGTACAAAAAAATAAATATACGAATCATGTCTTTATATTGAATTTTCACAGGACACACAATGTACCGTAACACACATTTTTAATACACTTGAAGATTGAACTAGGAGTAAATCAACATGTACAAATAATGAATACAACGAATATATTTTCTCTTCGACCAAATGAAAACAGAAAAAAACATAAACGATATATACTTAATAAAAAAAATAATTGAAGAACCACACTACTTAAAATCTGTGCCGCAAATAATTAAACCAATTACCAATCTAGTAAGATTAGTTATTTTGCTGGATTGTGTTGCATGCAAAGCGCAGTCATGACTCATGCCCTTGTTTCCTTATCAGCACTTGGGCATGTTTGGAGGACGTGGCATCATTTGAGTGTTTGGGGTCTTGCCATTTTTCACAATGAACACAGTGTCCATGCCCCACACTGTGTGACGATCGAAGTGACAATGCATAAACCACACACCTAATAGTAAACAAGAAAAAAAACAGCACACCATCAGAAAAAAAATTCACACATATATAGCATAGTTCATTATATTGTTGCCTAAATTTATATAGCAAATACTCACCAGGATTTGCTGCGCGGAAGCGCATTGCAGCCCAGCCGCCCGTTGGCACGGAGACGGTGTTCTGGTATGGCGGATCCACCAAGTTGTACGTGGTCGGGTCCTTGTCTTTGTCGAAGTTACCGAACCCTCGGCCCACCACGTAGAAGCTGAAGCCGTGCAGGTGCATGGGGTGGCTCTCGGCGCCGAGGATGGCTGTGTCCTGGAACACCACTTCCATGACGGTGCCATACTCCACCACCTTCACCTTGGTGCCCTGCTTTGTGAGCTCGAGCTCCTTCGGCGGGTTGGGGGCGGTGAAGTTGAAGAAGAAGGGTGGCCTGTCAGGAAAGTCCGGCTCGTACACGCCGCTGATGGAGTCGTAGTAAGCGTCGAGGATGTCAACGGTCGGCGGCACGAAGCTGACGTTGTTCAGGCTCGCCGCGAGGCGGGCGCCTTTTTTGGGGCCGGCACACGTCTTGTTTGGCTCGCAGGGGAGCGTGTTGACGGAGATCGTCACGAGCATGTGCTCGTCAACCTCCATTGGCACATCGATCGGGTGCTCCTTGGTGACCAGGGACCGGAGCTGCACCGCGTATGCCGTTGCTGCAGCGGTGTCGTTGATGTCCGGTAGGTTAGGGGAGTCCGGTGGCCCCGCGGAGGGTGGCGCTGGCACGTCCGTGTACTCCAGAATGGCCGTGGTATTTTTATCGTCGACCGGGGGTCCCTTGTTGGTGAAGTACGGCCTTACGGCCATGTAGTAGCGGTTGTTGTCGCCGGAGCCGTTGGTGGTGCGGTTGGCCTCGAGGAGCACGTTCATGGTCTGACCGGAGGAGATCATGATGTGGTCGACAGTGAACGGCTTGAGATAGCGGCCGTCAGTGCCGACCACCGTGAGGCGGTGCCCTGCGACGGCGAAGAACATCTCGTTGGTGAGCCCCGCGTTGATGACCCGGAGCAGGTACGTCTTGCCGTGCTCCACGAGCATCCTGAAGGTGTCGTTCTTGGAGCACGGGGCGAAGTCACCGGGTTGACCGTTGATGGTGTTGGCGTCGGAGATGTTGACGTCGCCGCCAGTCCGCTTGGCCTCCAGGAGAACTTGCTCCACGTCGGCGTTCCACCACTCGCCGAGAATGATGGGCACCTCCCTGTGCGGCCTGGGGTAGGGGTAGACGGAGCCGCGCTTGGGGTGGATGACGATGGCACCGTGCACGGTGGCGCGGTCGAAGTCGCTGTGCGCGTGCCACCACAGCGTGCCCTCCTCCTCGGTGAAGTTGATGCGGTAGGTGAAGTTGGCGCCGGGCTGGATGGGGCACTGCGTGATGTACTCCGGCCCGTCGGACCACGGGTTCCGCGGCTGGTCCACGCCGTGCCAGTGGAGGGTGATGTTTTTGTTGCCCTGGTTGTACACGTTGACGCCGATGACATCGCCCTTGCGCGCGTAGATGGTCGGCCCCGGGAACTGCCCGTTCACGGCCAGGATGGTCTTCTCGTGGCACAGCCGGGTGACCTTCATCTCCTTTATCTGCAAAAGAGAGTTATACGTACGCCGGCGTGTCACATTATTAGTCGTTTGTACGTCTTCTTAATAATCCAGCATGCATGCAATACTACATACTGTTCAAGCAACTGCTATTGCCTGCATCTCTGAATGAAATAATCAAACTGGTAAATATAAGTCGAAATGGGATGTATCGATCAACAACTTACAACGAAGTCGTAGTGAGTATTCCTGGAGGCCTGGGCCGGGCTAGCTGCCACTCCAAAGGCCAACACCACGCCTAGCAGTAACCACCAGCGGAGCCCTGCCGCCGGCATGTGAGCTACACCGCCCATCATCGATCGGACGTTGGTTGCCGAATGAAGGGGCATGCAATGCAGCAGAGCTAGCTCACCAATGCAAGCTCTCTGATCTTCGTGTATGATGATGACGTGTGTGTGCTCTGTTAGCTAGTTTGAGCAAATTGGAACGTGTGTTTTAGCAGCGAGCGATCGATCGAGAATGCAATGCAAAGGCTGGCTAGAGTTAGCTTGTGGCTCCGTGCGTTGCTGCGATGCTCATCTGCAGCGGATACCGCAAGTATTTATAGAGCCAGCGAGAGAGCTGCCAATGCAATGCAACGGCGAGGGATGCATGCATATATTATTATCCGTTAGTTCGTCATGCCGCCACCATCCGGTCGATAACTTCGAATCGGTCGTGGCCGCCTAGCTTAGCAACTCGTCCACGTACGTTGTAGCGTTTTTATTTTCGCCGTCGACCAATGCACGTTGATTGGCGTAGGTGCATGGAGGACTAGCTACCAACTGCCTCGCCGCGGTGGCGCGAGAGCGTGTGACGAGTGACGACTGACGACCACGACGTCCGAGCTAATAGGCTTGAATCTTCACCGGGAACTGCCACGACGGCGACCTTTGCATTAGGTTGCTAGAGCTTAATTAGATTAAAGGCATTGCATCTTTAGTAGTAATAAAAATTAGCACTATGTTTAGACGTTAATTAGAAGGATCAAACGTGAACTAATTTTAAAACTAATGGCATAAGTGATGACTAATCAGCGAGATGAATTTGTTAATTCTAATTAGGCCATGATTTAGCTTATATGGTGATACAGTAAACATAGACTAACCAAGGGCTAATTAGGATTAATAAATTTGTCTCGCAATTAGTCACCACTTATGCAATTAGTTTGAAAATTAGTTCACGTTTATTTTTAATTAGCATCTAAACATAGAGCTATTATTTTTAGCAGCTGAGATCCAAACAGAAGCCAGGCCAGCATGCATGCACAATCGCAGTCACTTGGAAGCTAATAAGGATAGAACGAGTCAAGGTCAAGGAACTCAACGCGCGCGCGCATGCAAGTTCGGAGGAAAATTTTAGAGGACCTGGTCCTTTTTCAACGAATGGCAGCATGCATGCGTGGAGCCAGGGTTCCAGGGTTCCAGCAGGCAGCGGCTAGCTTCCAAGAGATGCTGGCGGCTTACAGCGAATGAATGCAGAAATCGTGCTCGTTTACCCTTTTTGGGCGCTTTAGCAGTCGTTAGGCGGGCTAGTTTAGATTATTTGGCACCACCTAATATATATATTGAAGGCCGAGGTGATCAATTTGACTCACTACCAATATATGGTCAATTTGGCACGCCTTGTTGTTCAATCGGG